TTTCTTTGGAAGGCAGTGGATTTTTCTCTTGCGTTTCCGTCTTCTTCAATTTCGACTTATCGAATTTCTCGATCTCAGCCATATCGGGTTTGTCAGACATGGTCGCGGAGGAAGCTGCAGGGTACAAAGCCAAGGGGAGAGTGAGAACGCGCCACCCGCCCCCGCCTCCCCAGCTCCAGCCGCAACACCCCGCTCCTTCCGTGCGCATTCGGGGCTGAAGAAGAGCTTACTTTTTCTCCAGGAAAATAAAAGGTACGTCCCCCGAATATTTCAAAACGCTGGGGACCAAAGACCGAAGATTCCTTTAAGACCGAATCTTTCGGAATAAGGAAATCCACTGGTACAGATTGTTAATCGCAGCGTTTTACAATATTAAAATCTGCCTAGAACGAAGAGCCTCCTCCAAGTTTAAGTGGGGAAAATCGGGTAAAAATCCTTAAAATAGAGCCGAGGTGGCAAAAAGCGTTTCCCTGTTCTAGATGAGGTCCCTGCCCAAAGCTGCGAGCCCGTTCCGCTTCCCCTGCTCACAAAGGCGGCAACCGCCGCCCGGAGCTTCCGACCACCGCCCTGCCGCTTCCCCACGCTCCCTGGACAATGCAGCCGGCGGCGCACAAAGCGGCGCCGCAACTCGCGGAAATCAACCCTCGTCTGCACACGGGGCAATCCCGAAGCCTTTGCCCACAGCCACCGGCAAGGACTTCAGCGACCCTAAACACGGGCAGATCCAGCCCTCCAAACCTCCGGGGCCCGGGGGAAGCGCCGGGGTCGGGGCGATGTGCGCCAGAACAAAGGAGCTTTTCTGTTCTGATCAATCACAGCCTCTGAAGCTATGTAAAATGCTTCCGCAGGGGAAAAATGAGAGAAAACGTCCCCTCTTCGCGGCACGGCAAAACGCTAGTTTTATTCTAAGGCTTTTTTTTTTTTTGTCATCAAATTCCCAACCCCGTTACCCAGCGTCTGGAGGGTTCAGCATCCCCCTGTTCCCCAAGGCGGCTTCCCTGGGATAACTGGTTGGGCTCCGCTTTTACGCTGCCATGCCAGGGATGCGGACGCCGCAGGGGCGAGCAAGGGGACGCGGTGGACTGGGGACTGGCGGGGCGGGAGATAGGAGGCAGGGGCCCTGGGGCTCACCGGAGCGAGGTGCGAGAGCTAGAAGAGTCCGATCTGCGCAGTGGCAACCGCCGAATGCCGGGCGGGGCGCAGCGAGAGCCGTTATATGCACGCTGCTATGTAAATGAGGTGATGTCACCCGCAGTCCCGCTTAACTCCTTCGCGCCGCGTCGGGGGATGGGCTACCAGAGGCCCGCCGGGCGTTTGGGGCGCCCCACCCCCACCCCCAGCGGGCGCAGCATTGCTCCCTAACCACAGCGATGGCGAAAAAAGAAAACGGGCCAAAGCCCGCCCTCCAGCACTTCCTACATAACGCATTTTCCTCTTTTGTTTATTTTATTATAAAGAATTTTTGTACTAGGAGCGCAAACCTGCTCTTGGGAACCAGGACGTGATAACCGAGGGTCCAGGTGGCACCTAGGGGACAGGCATTCCTTTACTGCGAAACTGGCTTTGTCTACTGCAGACATCCCAGTGCATGGGCGCGGTGTCCCTCCCTGGAGGGCCGCTCCCACTGCAGGGCGGGATTCCTGTGACTCAGCTTTCCACCAGCGGAGGGCATGCACCCCACCCTGGTCCTCTTTGTCTTTCTCGCGGCTTTCACCTTGACTTGGGGGGGGGGGCACTCATACCGGATTGTTTAAACACTTTCGTCACTGTAACATCTAGATTTTTTTTTTATCGCTATAATTTTTGTGACTAGTCCACTCGAATAACCACGCTGGGTGTAGGGTAATTTATCTGGAGTAGATAGAATACAATGGCTCCTTATTAGCAAAATAAGTCAAATTCAAGCTCTGCTATGGACTTCCTGGCTGGCAATGAGGAAGTTCTTTACTTTCCTGTTCCTTATTTTTGTACATTATAAAAGTGATTGCTAAGGAGGCCTTTGCTGAATTCCAAAGACTACAATCCCGCTATTTCTAATATCTTTAAGATTAAACTGAAAAATCAAACTCCATCTTTTGAAGGGAGCGTTTTTTCAGTACTAGGACGTCCCGGAAGTGTATCTGGAAGTGCGGGAGATACAGGTAGAAAGGAGTCCTTTTCAACAGGCACCTAGCTCTGTGAAGTACCAGTGACCCACTTGCTACTGAGACTTAGTTACACACACCACGCCGTGCGCCTGCAAATAGTATGTGAAAGGCAAGCGACCCACCGGTTAGAAAGAAGCCTAGTTGGGATTATTTCTAAGAAACGCAAAGCAAAATATTCCTTCTCCTTTTCTGCTTCCTGAGAAACGTTTGCATGAACCCCTCGTTAATCATTTTCCCGGCCGAGGCTTTTGTCTCGCTGGAGATTGGAGTCAACTATTGTATAGACCCGTATATACGGCGGTGCTGGGCACAGTCAGCTCGGACTTCCCCGTTTCTTCATCTGCTTGACTTCCTTATTCCTGGGGAAGAAAGGGCTGGGGGTAGGCAGGTTCAAGGGACCTTCTGGGCTCCAGTTAGTGTTCTACTGGGTGACTGACTTCCTGCCCTCAGAATGGGGCACAGGACTTGCTGGTGCATGCAGCGGATGTCACCTATCTGGTAACAACACATCCCCCCTCGCCCCTGCCCTGCGCTGACTCTCCTGGGAGTCTACTTTATTGTTGAGACTCAGGAAAGCTCAGCAGGGTGCTTTTCCGCCCATTCGCTGGCAGCTGCCATCGCGCGGACACCTTTTCTATCAGTTCTGCCAGTCCCCTGCACCTCGTTGGGCTGTTGTGAAAAATCATTTCTTTCTTCCCAATGGCTCCTGTCAAAAGAATGCCACTATCGTCTCATCGCTCCTTCTCCCAAGAGCTTTTCTTTAGAAAAGGTTAAGCCTTAGAGAAGCAACATCTCCAAAGGAGATGGAGGAGTGGAAATTTGTAAACATCTGGAGTTGTTTGGTAGCAAGCACCTTCCTCTGTGCTGAGGTATTGGTAGGGACAGGGCAGGAGGGTACACAAGGAGGAAGAGAAAGAGAGGGAGGTGACTTGCAGAAAAGTCTCCCATGATTGGGCTTGGCTACCCACTGGTCAGGAGAACTCAGAGAATGGAAAGGGTAGAGTGAGGTAGATACAAGAAATGAAAACAGGAATGTTCTTAAAGGTTGTATGATTCTAGTGATGTGAATTAATCTTTCTGTGCTCTCGTTTTCCCATCTGTAAAATGGGTCCATTGCAATACTTAACCTCAGAGAGTTGTTGGGAGGATAAAATGTTTGGGAAAGTATATGACAATTAGTAAGCTCTTTGTCTTGTTAG